GGCAGAGTTTGGTCCCTGTATTGTTAATGGGCCACTCTGGGGCTGCCTTGGGCTTGAGTTGGGTCAGACCAGGTTTTTGCCAGAGTTGTGGTTGCACTGAACTCCAGGGTGCTCTCGCTGTGTTATCGCCTTGGAGACTTTTGTTGGTGGGTGGGGCCCGCAGTCAGACTAGATGTCTGCTCCCAGCCCGCTGATAAGGCTGCAGTTAAACTATTATGTGTGGTTATCTTCCCCCTCTCCCTTGTACAGGAGTCACTTTAGAGTGGTACTGGTCCCTGTTGGGGCTGCTTGCACAATGCCACACTTGTGGCACCACTTTGGATATACTCCTGCTGAGGCCAGGTTGGAGGGGGTGAGTCTACAGAAGAGCCCAGGCGTGGGGCGCACTGTTAGCAATCCACGTGGAAAGTGTTTGTGCTGTGCTGGTTCCTGCAGGTGTCTGTATATGTAGGCTGAGGGGTGGGAGGGAAATGGTTCCCGCCAGCTCCTTTGTTCTTGGAAAAGTCTCCCAACGATCCCTGACCCTCCAGTACACACTCTGAGATTAATAAATGAATCTCCTTCCTGTATACCCCAGGCATTTTCCAAAGTGCTGCTTTTATGCTGTATCTCAGCGGGACTGCTTGTTGTGCTGTTTATTGGCAGGGACTCAGTTTCCTCTTGCCCTCCAGCTCTCCCAGAGCCAATCTGCTAATTTTTAAAGTTCAGGTGGTAAGCCCAACTGCTTGTAAGAACTCCGGATATTAACCCCCTCTGGTTCTCAAAGCCAAATGTTATGGGGATTTGTTCCCCAATGCAGGTCCCTGTGACTGGGATGCCTGGTGTGGAGTCTGCCCCTGTCCCTTCTCTGTGCTTGTAGTGCCCCTCCTTCCCATGGACAGTCTCATGGATCAGCTTGGTTTCCGACTATGTCTCCACCCTTCCTACCATTTTTGATGTGGTCTCTTCTCTGTGTTTAGCTCTGGAGAGTCTGTTCTGCCAGTCTTTGGGTAATTTTCTAGGTTATTTACACTGATGTGGGTTTATCCTAGTTGTATTCCTCAGATGAGATGAGTTTAGGATCCTCTGGCTCTGCCATCTTTCTCAGAAGTCCCGTATACTCATTTCATTCTGAAAATGACTTGAAGTTGCATATCTTGAAATTGTTTTCAAGATAATATAATACAAGTAACTGGGAAGGAAGAGAAAATGAGGATAGAGAAAAAAATTAAACCAGGAATAAATTTAATGTCCCTAGGAGATATCACAATATCTTTTTAGAAAGATGGGTCATCAATTTTTTTTCCCAGTTTTCTGGCAGCCATCAGAAATAAGGAATTAAAGAGCCATATACATGAATTGCAGTGTCCATATTTTGGGAAAAGGAAGAAGAAAAGCTATTTGTTTAATATAAGAATAGTTATTCTTTTAAGTATTGAGGCCTGCAAGAAATTCCTTCTGTCCATAGAGAGGACTGTATGAAGTTGTAAAACATCCTTTACTTCTCTACAGTAAATACAATTGTTTTATAGGGTTTAGTTTAGCTGTTCCTTGCAGTAACTGCATAGCAAAAGAATTTTGTATAATTTCTGAAAGGTACTTATACAAATGGTTAAAATGCAGTCCCAGCCACACAGCTTTTTGACGATTTGGTCTATTTCGAGATTAACATTTAGAGTATCTGGATTAGAGGAGTGAATAAAGAATATATTTAGTGCATAAAAAATATTTTTTTGCTTTAAAACAAAACAAAATGTTTTAATTTTTGTTTAAAAAATAACGTTATGTACATATACGTAAGTTTCTAAATTCTTCATGTCACTAAATTCTGCATGTTTGATGAAAAAAACAGCACCTCCACTCCAACTCTTTCTCTTTCTCCCAAGGCAATTTGCTTTTAATTCTTATTATTTTGGTGTTTTCTCAGTGTCTACATATCACACTTATAATGCATCTTGGGTTTTCATTCTTTGCATTAGCTGTTGACTTTCTTTTATGCTAACAGGCTTTAGTTCTCTTACCTCCCTCTGCTTCCACAGTACATATGCACATATTCAATATATAGCCTCTTCCCCATTCTCCTGATGTAATTTAAATTTTGGTTAATTCATTATTTTTGTTTATATCAATGTTTACATTTTTATGACTACAGATGCGAGCTGAGACGTGTTATTTTTATTTTCCTCAGCATCTTTTTTCCCCTTAGAGTTAATAACTGTGTTTTTGTTGTTACTTACTTAGTTTTCTTTATATTTATCAATGTAATTTAACTCCAGGTTTACTGCCATTTATCCACATCTCCTCTTAAGATGTTTATTCCTATCAATTTTGTATTTATGAAGAAAATTTGGAGTCTCTTTCTTACATGAACCAGGATACTGTTGTCATCCTAGGATATCTCCCTTCACATCTCTCCTATATTCCTGTTTCTTGTATTCCATGTCTTCCTTGTCTTAGTTTTGTGTCATCATTTTGTTGAAAGAAATCATTTAGTAGCCCCCTAAGAAAAGATACAAGGGAGGTAAATTTATTGCAAATGTCTTTTCATCTCTCATATTTGATTGACAGTTTGGCTGGGTATAGAATTCTAGGCTTAAAATAATTCCCCTTCAGAATTGTGAAGATGTTAATCTGTTGCCTTTTAGTTTACATTGTGGTTCAGAAGTCTAAAGCTATGCTGTTTCCTGATCCTTTAAATATGATCTGTTTCTTGATCTCTTTCTCTTTCTCTTTGTCTCTGTCTCTTTCTCTCTCTTTCTGGAAATGTATAGAATTTTTTAGTCCTGAGTATTCTGAAATTTCATGACAATGTACTTTGATGTGGGTCTATTTTCATGTATCATTGTGTATAGTCCTTTGAATCGAAGAACTCATATTCATCAATTTTGGGAGATTCTTTTGAATTATGTTTTACCATTTTTCCCCATCCCTTTTCTTTGTTGTCTTTTTTTTTTTTAATCTGTTATTTAGATATAGGACCTTCTGGATTGGTTCTATAATTTTCTTATCTTTCCTATTCTGTTTGCTATACTTTGGGAAGACTTTCTCACCTTTATCCTTAGAGCCCAGAATTGAGGTTTTCATTTTTGCTATCATGTTCCTAATTTCTAAGGATTTCTTTTTTTTCTTTTTCTTGTCACATGGATATATGTTCTTAATTTATCTCCCCAAGAATAGTGGTGGTAATTTTGTTCTTTGATGTTTTCTCATAATGAATGTTTTCTTTAATAGTTTTTCTCCTACAATGTTTCTAATATTCTCTTTTTAGTCTTCAAGTATATTATATTCTTTCCCCTGCTAAACTAAACTCTTTTGAATTACTTTTGTTCTAGTTCTTTTCATCCTAGCCTTAATGATAGCCATTCTTTAGGTGAAGTTAATCCTTGATTCACTCTTTATGTTTAATCGTAAGGTCTATAAAGCTTGTGAATGGGGCTTACCAACTGTGAGGTTGGCAACTGCAGGGTGATCTTGCTGAGTTTTTTGTGAGTAGTCCCCATGTTGGTATCTTTAGTTCCTCTTGGGCTGGTTAGATTTTCTAGAGAAGACTTCTCATTTCCTGCATGGATGGTAAAGGCCTGGGTGCCCACACTGTTCAAGTGGAGTAAGGGGAAAGGCTTCAAGCATTCAGGAGGCATATATTGACTTGATCACCCTTGGTTTAGAGCAGTACCTTTACCTTCAGTTGTGCCTGGTATTTCATGATCCAGAGACACTTCTTTTACCTTCTCCAAAGAATAAAACTCTAGTTGTCTGTTAGAGTTAACAAAAGATGTGGAACTGAGGAGAGTATTTAGGGATGCAATTGTTTTTTAAGCAGCTTTCATCTAATCCTCCTTATTTCAGCTACCACCTTCTCCCTACCCCCATCACCACCTTCTCCAGAGGTACCTGGTGCTGTTAATTCCTGAGCCTTTTGAAGATTCTGCAGAGTAAGTTCTATTGGTTCTTGGCTTTCCTTACTGCCAGCTTAAGATTTGGCTTTCCCAGATCTGTTAAGTCAGTTACCACTTACGCATCTGCTTTTCAGCTTCCAAAATTAATTTTGTTGCTGCTGACTCCTCTCTTGTTCTTCCTGTTCTTGTGTTTTATGCTTATAAAATGATGCCTTTATTGTAGCTTTAATGATGTTTCCAAGAGTGGGTGAAAGAGATGTGTGTTCAAGGCCCCCTTTTAATCCAGATGTCCTAACATTATTTCTCTTACTACCAAGTTTTAATGAGTACTGGGGATAAAGAATTTGAAGATGCACCTGGAATGTAGATAGGCAGTTTTGTTGATTAAAGGCAAGTCCATCATCATTGTATTATCATCATCATTATTACCATCACCATCACCACCATCACCATTAATTTTCTCATTTAATTCTCATAATCTAATGAGAAGTACCGTAAGGGAGGTAAGGGAAATTAAGATAAGGGAAATTTTATAGGTATGGGAAATGAAGGCTCAGGGGGTGTAAGGAATATGCATAGGGTCACACAACCTATATGGGCAGGATGTTGGACCCCAAAGCCTAAGTGTTCTTAGAAACCACTGGGCCTGGGCCATTGCTGCCTTCTTTTTATAATCAACATCAGCTAAACTAGATTAAGGTTGATATCCATATAGGAAAGTTTAAAAGCCTCAGCAGGGCACAGGGCTAAGTAGAAATTTGATCTTTACATTTCATGTTCTGGGGAGTTACCACCCACAAAGAAACTGTAGGTCCTTTAAGTCTGTCCTGTGTCTGAGCTTTAGATCTAGAGTCAACCTAGGACCTTGGGAGCAGGGGCCTGGGGTACAAATTGCAGGAATGGTCAGGCTCTGTAGCCTTGATGGTGGCTCTGTGGGAGTGAGTGATTCCCACCAGCTTGGCTGCCTTTTATTTCACCATTTTAGAGATTTGTGTTGCAAATATATGTTAATGAACTTGTTAGGTGCTGACAGTCTGTTGTGATGTCTGACTTAGTGGGGAGCTGTTTTATAGCTGGGTGAATGAGACATGCTAAATCACCCTTTTACTTTCCCTTTGGTTAAAGTTGAAGGAATTGAAGAATCTACAGCAACAGTACTTACAGATTAACCAAGAAATCACTGAATTACGTCCACTGAAGGCTCGAATTCAAGAGTATCAAGATAAGACAAAAAATTTTCAGATTATGCAAGAAGAGCTAAGGCAGGAAAATCTCTCCTGGCAGCATGAGCTGCATCAGCTCAGGTATGATAATCCCGGCTTTTTGACCCTTTTCTTTTAGTTTTCTTTTTTTTTTTAACTTTTTATTATAAAATAATTATAGTTTTATAAGAAGTTGCAAAAAACAGAGAGCCCTGTGTACCTTTCATCCAGTTTCCACCCATGCTAACGTCTTACATTACTGTAGTACACCAAAATCAGGAAATGACATGGGTGCAATTCAAAGACTTTTTTCAGACTTCATCAATTTCACCTTCACTCAAGTATGTGTATCTGTGTATAGTTCTGTGCAACTTTATCATATGTGTAAGTACATGTAATCATGACAACCAAGATACACAAGTGCTCCATTATCACAAATAATACCCGTTGTGCTACTAATTTATAGTCATAATCTTCCCCCCATGCCAACATCCCTAACTCTGACAACCACTAATCTGTTCTCCATCTCTATCATTTTGCCATTTTTGAGAATTTTTTTTAAGTTTTTATTTAAATTCCAGTTAGTTAACATACAGTGTTTTAAGTGGAATCCTACAGTATGTAACCTTTTGAAATTAGCTTTATTCACACATCATAATGCCCTTGAGGTCCATCAACATTGTTCATGTATCAATAGTTCTTTTTTATTAATGAATAATATTCCGTGGTATGAATGTACTGCTTTAACCATTCACCCATGTGTGTTAGTTCTGATTTTTAGATACTATTAATAAAGCTGCTATAAATATTTGTGTATAGGCTTTTATGTAGACGTTAGGTTTCCATTTCTCTGAGATATTTGTCCAGGAGTACAAATGCTAGATTGTATGGTAACTATCTGTTTAGTTTTTCAAGAAACTGTAAAATTATATCCCAGAATGACTGTACCATTTTATATTCCTACCAACAATATATGAGTGATCCAGTTTCAATATCAAATGCTATATCCTTGTCAGCATTTGATATTGTCACTATATTTTAATTTTTTAATAGGTATTCATGCTATCCCATTGTGGTTTTCATTTGCATAATGGGTAATAATGTGGAACATTTTTTTATTCCTTATTTGACATCCATATGTCCTTTTTGATGAAATGTTTGTTAATGTGTTTTACCCATTTTTTATTTGGGTCGGTAATTTTTTACTGTTGAGTTTTGAGGGTTCTTTGTATGTTCTAGGTATAAGTTCCTTGTCAGATAGGTGGCTTGCAAATATTTTCTCCCAGTTTGCAGTTTATCTTTTCATTCTTCTTAATTTTGATGAAATCCAATTTAATGATTATTTTTCTCTTTATGCAGATTCAATAATTTCTGTTGCTCTGTCTTCATATTCACTGATTCTTGATTCTTTCCTTCATCACTTCCATTCTGCTATTGAGCCCATTGAGTTAGGTTTTATTTTGGATATTGTATTTTTCAGTTACAAAATTTCCATTCAATTATTTTTATTTTCTGTTTCCTTACTGAGGTTTTCTATATTTTTTTAAATTGAAGAATAGTTAACATACAGTGTTACGTAAGTTTCATCTGTACAACCTAGTGATTCAACAACTGTATGCATTATGCAGTGCTTACCAAGATAAGTGTAGGTATCATCCGTCACCATACAAAATAATTACAGTGTTATTGATTATATTTCCTATGGTGAACTTTTCATTCCTGTGATTTATTTATTTTATAACTGAAAATTTGTACCTCTTAAGATCCTCTCACCTATTTTGCCCATCCTCCAACCCCCCACCCCTGGCAGTCACTGGATTGTTCTCTGTATTTATAAGTCCACTTCTTTTTTTGTTTGTTTATTGTTTTTCAGATTCCACATATAAGTGAAATCATATGGTATTTGTCTTTTTCTGACTTATTTCACTGAGCATAATACCCTCTAGGCCCATCCTTGTTGTTATGAATGGCATCTTTCTTTTTTTAGTTGAGTAATATTTCCGTGTGTGTGTGTGTGTGTATGTGTACACACCAGATCTTCTTTATCCATTCATCTATCGATGGACACTTGAGTTGCTTCTGTATCTTAGCTATTATAAATAATGCTGCAGTGAATATAAAGATGCATATATCTTTTTGTATTAGTGTTTGATTTTCTTTGGGAAAATACCCAGTAGTGGAATTACTGGGTTGTATGGTATTCTATTTTTAATTTTTTGAGGAACCTTCATACTGTTTTCCATAGTAGCTGCATCAATTTACATTCCCAGCAACAGTGCATGAGGGTTCCTTTTTCTCCACATCCTCACCAACACTTACTATTTTTTGTCTTTATGATTCTGACTGCTGTGAGATGTTATCTTATTGTGGTTTTGATTTGCATTTCTCTGAAGATTATAATGCTGAGCATATTTTCATGTGTCTGTGGTCTATCTGTGTATATCTTCTTTGGAGAAATGTGAAGCTTTCTCTGTTTTCATTTATTTCCAGTGTGTAAGTAATTGCTTGTTGAAGCATTTTTGTGGTGGCTGCTTTAAAATCCTTATATAATTCTATAACATATAATTCATTTCTGTGTTGTAGTCTGTTGATTTTCTTTTCTCAATCAAGTCATGACTTCCCTGGCTCTTAGTATGATGAGTGATTTTCAGTTGTATCCTGAACATTTTGGAGATTATAAGACTCTCAATCTTATTTAAATCCTCTGCTTTAGTAGGCTTCCACTGATACTTTACTGTTAGATGATGGATGAAGTCCAGCGGGCTCCCTACTCAGCCTTCATTGATACCGCAGGAGAGGAGGTGCTTTGGTACTGCCAGGAAGAGGCAGAAGTCCAGGCTCCCCACCTGTGCTCCACTGACACTGCAGTTGAGGGGGAAGCAGTGCGTCCTTACTGTTAGGTGAGAGTAGAAGTCCAAGCTCCATACATGGACTCCATTGCTACCACTGGAGGGGTGTGGAGAAAGGCATTTCACTATCACTGGGTGGAGAGTAGAGAAAAAAATGATTTCTGGTCTATTGATTTTTATCCCCCCTCTCTCCCTGTTTACCTTTCTCTTAGCTTTTCTCTCTTTACCTCCCCATTTGAGCAGTTTTGAAGAAAAGTAATTAATTATGTCTCAAGTGGGTGTGAGTAAATTAGGGGAAGGAAAGGAAGACATTTTATTTTACTTAACATTTAGAAGGAAGAAAAAAATGAGGACACAGGTTTGATTCCCTGACTTTTTTACCAGTTTCTTTAGCTGAATATCTTCAGGACCTCTGTCTTCTGCTCTTGATCTACTTTGGGGAAATTAGCTTTTCAAACATGAAAAAGCTGGAACATCTTGTTCAAGCTTCTCTTAGGCTCAGGGTTAGCTTATTAGGAGAGCCTGGATTTATACCATAACCTTTCTCTTCCCCTTGTGGCTATTGGTTTGCTTATTCTGCTCTGGTTCCTGTGCTCTCTTACATAAGGGGGGATAAGTGAGGTATATCCCTGTATGGCCGAGTTCTGTGAAGTAATCAGCTTTGTTCCTTGGGCCCTATTCTCCATTGAGCATCTCTTTCCACACCATGACCACCTTCCAGAAAAATGGCAGCTTGAAGCTTTTTATGGAAGATTATGATCTTTCTTCTGCATTCAGCTCTTAAATTGTTCTCTCTCATTTTTCACAGACAGATATCAAAGGAAGTGTTGAAAATCCTGTGCCTTTTACATGTAGTGGCCTTGTAATAAAATTTTATTTTAGTTTCTAAGTTTGGGCTCTGCCTTTTTGAAAAACGTTTTTTGACCATAATCAAACTCACTTCTTAGCAGAGAAGGATTATTTCATAACACGTATATGCCATTTAGAAAAGAAGGGACCATTTTGCCTTATTTCTAGAATGAAAGACAAAAAGTCAGATGCAGTTCAAACAAAACCTTGTACTGTTGGAATAAACAGAGACATGGGTACTATTCAACGTGAAGAGATGCTGCAGGAATTTGATTACAATCCTAGTGAGTTCTTTTAGACAGAGTAGAGAGAGAAGTAGAACTAAAGAATGTGGCAGAGACACAGTTTTTGCTAGTACTACAAAAAATGAGCTGGGGTCAAACAGAAGCCTCCCTCTTGGCCAAATTTGGAGAATAAATAGAAATAGCAGCTCATATTTGTTGAGTGATTATGATATGCCAGGCTCTGTGTTTGGTGCATGACATACAGTGTCTCATTTAATCTTTAGAATAATCCTAAGGAATAAATAGTTTATTCCCATTATACCAGTGAGGTTCAGAGAGATTAGAAACTTTACTCAGGGTCTGATGCCTAGTTTATAATAGAGCCGGTGTTTGAACCCAGTTCCTTCAAGACTCTATGGTTGCCTTGGGTAGCGTTGCATCTTTGTAACTATGATGCTAGTCTGCATCTGGTACTACCTTTCTGAAGAATTACAGTGGTTTCCCATTGTTTACGGAATAAGGTTTATTTAGCATGTGACTCAGTGCCCCACATCATCCAACCTCACTTCTCTGTCCTCATTTCCTACCCTATCCACTTTATATACTGTCTGCTACAATTCCAAAATTCAGTATGTATGTGTGTATATATATTCATTTTTGTGCCTTTTGTTCAGTATGTTCCCAGAACCTGGAATGCTTTTCCGTGAAATCATCCTCAGTCTTGCCAGTTGCAATCCTTTTATTAGTTCAGCTTCGTCATCTTGCTCTACAGTTCAATTTATAATATAAATTTTGCTCTGGTGATATATTTTCTTTACTACATCTCTGCAGTCCATAATACTGTTTTGAATATGTAATTATTTATCCATGTCTCACAAGTATTTTTTTGCCTGCAATTATTTCATGTGTTTTGTAGGATGGAAAAGAGCTCCTGGGAAGCCCAGGAGCGGAGAATGAAGGAGCAGTACCTTATGGCTATCTCAGATAAAGATCAGCAGCTCAGTCATCTGCAGAATCTTATGAGGGAATTGAGATCTCCTTCCTCCCAGACTGAGGCCTTCAAAATACAATACCAAAGACAGGTGAGTAATTTCAGTGCTGATTGCTACTCAGAGGCAACCACAACCCAGGAAGTATCGCCAAATCCCTGTCTGCCACTCTTAGGCAAGCTGTGTTGTGACCTCCTATGAGGTGGACAGAATTCATAGAGGGAAGGAATTAAGCATGAACAGCATTAGGAGGGAATTTCATCAGTGTTTTTACTCTGGCAGGCATCCCCAGAGACATCAGCATCCCTAGATGGATCACAAAACCTAGTTTGTGAGACAGAACTTCTTAGGACTCAGCTCAATGACAGCCTAAAGGAAATTCACCAAAAAGAATTAAGAATTCAGCAACTAAACAGCAAGGTAAGTGTTTCCTGCTAGACTGGAATTCAGTTTCTTATTTCCATGACCAGAAGCCAGGAGGTAAGTAGAAGCTGATTAAGCCTAGGTTCTAGCTGTAGCGTATCTCAGGATACCAAAGATTTACTTTTCTTGGAGTCTGGGTCGCTCACCCCAAAGCACTGGACATGGGGCCATTTCCTTTTCCTCATCCTTGGAGCATCCTTAGGAGTGATTTGGAGAAATCTATTCAGTAAGAATAAAAAAAAAAAAAATCCAACTCTTTTAGGAAGGCTTGCTCCCCAGCATTGTCTCCCTCTCTGTACCCATGTTAGTAATATTAAGGGACCTCCCCACAAACCCTCCGACACCTCTTCTCTGTTTCTCACCAGTGTGCAACAAGAAAATGTCTCAGGAAGGAGGAAGGAAGCTTTTCAGATGTGATTAGATAGCAGGGTTAGAGGTGAGAGTCTGCTCTTCATTCCACTTCATCTGTAGGCTTCCTCATTGGTGTCTAATGTTCTGGAACTAAAGAAGCCAGCTTTTTCCCAAACCCCAGCCATGCCAGTCCATGTACTCTGAGGAAGCATACTGGGATAGATAGGATGTCTGTCTGTCTGTCTTTCTTTCTTTCTTTCTTTCTTCTTTTTCTTTCTTAATTCTTTCTTCTTTCTTTTTCTTTCTTTCTTCTTTGTTTCTTTTCTTTTTTCTTTTTCTTTCTTTTTTAATTTTTTAACTAAAAAATTTTTTTTTAAGATTTTTAAAAATATTTTTTATTTATTTGTCAGAGAGAGAGAGCATACAGGCGGGGGAGCAGGAGGCAGAGGGAGAAGCAAAAACACTGAGCAAGGAGCCCAATGTGGGACTCCATCCCAGGCCCCTGGGATCACGAGCTGAGTTGAAGGCAGATGCTTAACCAACTGAACCACCCAGGCGTCCCTTAATTTTTTTATTTTTAATGTTTATTTTTTTAAATTTAAATTCAATTAACCAACACTTAGTACATCATTAGTTTCAGATGTAGTGTTAACAATTCATCAGTTGCGTATAACACCCCTGGGATGTATTTCTGTAGGGAAAAGCCACTTTGCCATCTGGTCTCTAGAGCCAATCTCACCAAGGCAAGATTAAAGAAAATTATTCTTGGATGCCTTCTCACATCTCTGTTCTCTCTCCTCATTCATTCTCTGGCTTCTCTTCCTCCTTCATTTGCCTCTCCTCCCCTACCCGCTTATGAATCATTATACTCCTGTTGCTTTCTGAGTATTCAAAGTATTCCCGAGTGGCACCTCCCTAGTTCTGCCTTCTTCAGAGGAACCCAGCTAGGTAGTTTATGTTAGAACTAGAAGGGATTTAAGAGGTCATTTAGACTCTAGAATACAAAGATTGGCTGTTAGGAGAGCTGTGAATCTCGAAAAATTTATATACAAATTGGTGTGCATGTGTGTGTGTGTGTGTGTGTCTAAGTTTATCATCATGAGAACTCATCAGTTCACCAAGGTATCTAAGATCCAAAAATGGTAAAGATAGGTAGGCTATATCACAGATAGGGAAACTAAGGCCCAGAGGTATTAAGTAATTTGCCTAAGGTGTTTGGAGGAGGTCATTCTGAGATAAATATGATAAATGTATGTGGAAAAGCACAGTACCTAGCTTATGTAGAAGGTATTTATTAGATGTTAAATTCAACTAATTGACATTGAAGTATCAGAGGCTGAAACGCTATTAACTTTGGCAGAAAATTTGCATTTTTAAAATTAGGTTTGTTAATCCAAATGAATGGGTAAAATTGTAGACCCTTTATTGGACTAATTATCTGGAAGTTTTCAAGGGGGCTCCAGAGCAACTCCCATCCAGTTCTCATTCTTTCCATAAATTAGATCCCATCTCAACCTTGTTACATTTGCTCTCCTGAAAATCACTGTAAATTACTCTGGGCGTTTGTCTTTCTGTTAATCTCTTTTCACCTGAGATTTACGGCTATTAGTAGATGATAAGGTCATTTTAGCAACTAAAAAACTTTTTTTTTATTATGTTATGTTAGTCACCATACAGTACATCATTAGTTTTTGATGTAGTGTTCCATGATTCATTGTTTGTGTATAACAGCCAGTGCTCCATGCAGTACGTGCCCTCCTTAATACCCATCACTGTGCTAACCCATCCCCTCTGCCCCCCTCCCCTCTAAAATCGTCTGTTTCTTGGAGTCCATAGTCTCTCATGGTTCATCTACCCCTCTGATTCCCCACGCCTTCATTTTTCCCTTCCTTCTCCTAATGTTCCCATTCTGTTCCTTATGTTCCACAAATAAGTGAAGCCATGTGATAATTGACTTTCTCTGCTTAACTTATTCACTTAGAATAATCTCCTCCAGTCCCATCCATGTTGATGTAAAAGTTGAGTATTCATCCTTTCTGATGGCTGAGTAATATTCCATTGTATATATGGACCACATCTTCTTTATCCATTCATCTGTTGAAGGGCATCTCGGCTCGTTCCACGGTTTGGCTACTGTGGACATTGCTGCTATGAACATTGGAGTGCATATGGCCCTTCTTTTCACTACATCTGTGTCTTTGGGGTAAATACCCAGGAGTGTAATTGCTGGGTCATAAGGTAGCTCTGTTTTTAAATTTTTGAGGCACCTCCACACTGTTTTCCAAAGTGGCTGTACCAACTTGCATTCCCACCAAGAGTGTAAGAGGGTTCCCCTTTCTCCACAACCTTTCCAACATTTGTTGTTTCTTGCCTTGTCAATTTTTGCCATTCTTACTGGTGTAAGGTGGTATCTCAGTGTGGTTTTGATTTGAATTTCCCTGATGGCTAATGATGATGAACATTTTTTCATGTGCTGTTAGCCATTCGTATGTCTTCTTTGGAGAAGTGTCTGTTCATGTCTTCTGCCCATTTTTTGACTTAATTCTTTGTTGTTTGGGTGTTGAGTTTGAGAAGTTCTTTATAGATCTTGGATATCAGCCTTTTGTCTGTAGTGTCATTTGCTAAAAAGTTAATGTAAATGTTTTATTGAAATAAAATATATAAAAAGCATACAAATCATAAATACACAGCATATTTTCACAAAGTGAAGACACCTGTATAACCAGCACCCAGATCAAGAATCAGAACATACCCAGAACTCCAGAAGTCCCTCATGTCCTTTTCTATTTACTACCACACCCTTAGAACTACAGATACATGGAATCATATCTTCTGTCTTATGTTACTTCACTTATTTTGTGAGATTTATCCATGTTGTTTTAGATAGTATGATTTTTTTCCATTCTCATGCTATATAGCATTGCATTGTAGGCGAATACCATAGTTTCTCTATTCTGCTGTTAAAGGGCTTTGGGGTTTTTCCAGTTTGGGGCTATTGCAAGTAGTGCAAGTAATGTTTTTTATAAAACAAAATAAAAGAGATTAGAAATACGTAGGGATTATGTAATATATAATAACGAGTCTAGTTTTAAGAAACTTTAGTTTCAATTTTATATATTTATATACGAGGTTCTGTGTCATAAAGTTATGTTTTCTTTAACAGCTTTATTGGGATATACTTCAGTTATCACTTAAAGTATGAGAAATACTACTTTGGGTCGCTGTCATTCCGGGTGAGAAAGAGGTCTTCCTTTAGGCATCTCTATCAATAGTGTCATTCATTCATTCATTCATCAAGCAAATAACTATTATTTGCCTTCTATGAGCTTGGCCATATGTTAGGATACACAATGGGCCCTCAGGGAGCATATCATCTGATGAGCTTAGAGCCTCACTCTAAATGGGTCCCAGCTAAGTAGGAGAATTGCTTCTTGGGCCCTAGAATGGGATTGTAGTAGACAGGCTATCAGCATAGAATGCTCCTCTCCAAGCCACTGCCCTAATTCTTTCCGTGGATGCTCAGATTTTATATATATTTCTGCCAACATGGTTGGATGTTTGTATGTAATGCAAACTTAAAATTTGTAACCTAAAACTTAAAAACAGGAGAGAAATGACTATTGATATAATGTAGTCTAGATTATTCCCTCCTATTCTGTTTTTATAAGCATAGATACGATAAAGCACAACAGCTTATGAGCTAGAACAGGTCAGCAAACTCTTCCATAAAGGTCCGGTGGTAAATATTTCGGTCTGTAGGTTATTCCGCCTGTTACCACTATTCAGCTCTGCAGTTGTGTCACAAAAGCAGCCGTAGGTGGTACATAAACAAATCGAGCAGTCATATTCCGATAAAACCTTATTTACAAAAAAGGGCCGTAGACCCTGGATCATAGGTTTGCCAACACCTAAACTATAGGGATTTATATCTAATCCTAAACAGAATAATACAAACAGTATAAAAGGTGGTTTATATGAGGGTGGCTTATAAGGAATTAGATTTCTCCAGTTAAGGGGGTTTTGCTTCCAATGAGCTTCACAGGTCTATCCTTTCTCCTCTAGATCTGTGAAAGAAAAATAGTGTTGTATTTTTCAATAGTGAGAGATTGTTTTTGTTCTTGTTTTTGTTTTGGGGTTGTTTATTTGGTTTTGGTTTTGGTTTTTTGGGACCATTTGGTGGCCAGGAAAATTAACTTCCGTTTGTTAGGAGATCATGATACTCTGTGTCTCAGAACCCAGTAGTTGTCATTGTACCCAGTAGTTGTCATCTACCCTTGTCTTCAGATTAGTATTGCTTCTCAAACATTTATATTCTTTTCTTTACTAACTGCTCCTACTCCCCCCAAAACCCATAACCTGCTTCACTTCCCTTGCTGAACCCTAGTCGGGATGCCACCACATAGTAGGTAGAGCTGTAGACTTGGAATCAAGAACCATACTTGAGCCCAGGTCTGTCATCTGTTAGCCACAGGATGTTGGGAAAGTCACTGCTCATTTTTTTTTGTTTGTTTGGCATTTGTTTTGTTTGTCAGTTTCTCTTCAGAGGTAAGGTTACTCGTGATTTTCATTCTGGCTGTGCAGATATTCTTGTTATACCATGTGGATTTCTTTTTTTTTTCCTTTAAAAATTTTATTTATTTACTTGAGCAAGAGCAAGAGCAAGAGAGAGAGAGCAGGAGCAGGGGGGAGGGGCAGAGGGAGAGGTAGCAACAGACTACCTGCTGAGCAGGGAACCCAGATGCCCCAGGACCCTGGGATCATGACCGGAGTCAAAGGCAGACGCTTAACCCACTGAGCCACCCAGGTGCCCCCATGGAGATTTCTTATTCTAGTTTTCTGTATGCATCAGATGTCCTTCCCAGTCAATCAGAGTATCTCTAGAAAAATGTATCTTCTCCTCTCTGAACATTGGGTCAACTTTTTTTTTTTTAATTTAAATTCATGTTAGTGAACATATAGTATATTATTTGTTTCAGAGGTAGAATTTAGTGATTCATCACTAGTTACATATAACACCCCGTGCTCATTACATCAGTGCCCTCCTTAATGCCCATCACCCCATTACCCCATCCCCTCACCCATCTCCCCTCCAGCAACCCACATCAACTTTTTTACACAAGTGTTAACCCAGAATACTTACAAAAAAGACACTCAGGAAAAGATTGAATATGCATCCAGTTACACCAGTTTCCCTTCACATAATGCTTACATTCCTACAGTAGGTACTTCGGAGAGACATCTCTATCGTAACTAGAACTTGAAACCTGATAGCCTGCAAGGAAGGTATTATATATTCTAGTTACAGGAGACTGAATTCAAATTACTAGATAGGAGCTACAATGGGTAAATTTTTTGCTCAATATAAAAAAAAAATCTTCTGTTTTTGACATGGTGAAAAATGGCTTAGGCTGCTTTGTCAGGAGGTGAACACCCCTGACCCTGGGACATGTTACTCAGGTAGTAGAGGAAGGTCCTGCTTTGAGCAACTACAATATTTCCACCTGTGAGAATGTGCTGCACCCAGTGTCATTTCTTCCACATACACAGGCAATTTAGGATTTCTTCTGTTTCCCCCCCAACCACACGTTACAATTTCTTTTTCCACTTTCCTGGTAACTTGTAACTCTCTATAGCATTGAAGAGTCTGCCCAGTACTATGGTTGTACGAATTTCTAGGTGACAGCTCTATCTCATATTGAGTTCTCAGGATGATAGTCATTTGTTCGTAATTTCATCTTGGACTCACACTGCTGTCTTTTTCCTCTTACGTACCTAGGATAGTTTATACTCTCGGATTGTTTGTGGGACCCTGCTTTCTGGTTTCCCAGTCAATGTACTAGGCACCATAAATAAAGTTTCCTACTACTCCTCCAGAATTGTTTTCCTTTTTGGTTGAAAAATTCTGAGTTTCCTCACTTTGAAGGAACACACAATGCTGTTGTTACCATTATAGAAATAAAGGGCTTACATTAAAAACAGAACTTTGAAACTCAGGAGAGTCTTCTGAAACACTGCTTGTTGGGAAACAGTCCTGTGGGACGGTGCTCATCCTCTCCTCTGTTTCAGTTCTCTCAACTGCTCGAAGAGAAAAATACCCTTTCAATTCAGCTCTGCGATACCAGTCAGAGTCTTCGTGAGAACCAGCAGCACTACACTGACCTTTTTAATCACTGCGCGGTCTTGGAGAAGCAGGTCCAGGAGCTGCAAGCGGTGAGCAAGATGGCGGTGAGAGGCTGGGAAAAGGGTTAGGAACTTGAGCACAGATGGCAAAACATAAAGAGTGGCATGGAAGAGGCTGGCGCTATAGGCTGAAGATTAATTAGGTGTCGTGGAGGAAAGGCCGAGAGAAGAGCAGAGCGTTTGCTGAGATGGGAATAAGGCCTAGAAAAATCAAAGTGTGAGGGGATGAGAAGGAAAAACATCAGTGAAATGGTGGGAGAGAAATCAAAAAGTGAATGGGAAACTGATGACTGAAGCTTTTGGAACTCTGACACTAAGACGGTGTGGATTTTGCTTCAAGAAATAAGAAAGCCGTAGGAAGATTTGGCTCTGAGAAACGAAGCAGGCGGGGCTGTCGAGCAGCTGTAGAGCTGGAGTGCCCTGCCTGCGTGGAGGTGGGGAGTGAGAATTGGTGTGCAGCTGACTAGGCCAGGGCAGGGGAGGAGGTTTGGGAGGGGCAGTCGAACAGGGGAAGGATCACAGTAGCTTCTGGAAAATCCATGAGCCTCTGCTGGAAGAAAGCAGATAAGCTTTTAAGTGGTAAGCCTTTCAACTTTTAAGAGGAGAGATTAAAAAATGAGAATCTAGGAAAAAAAATCTAATCCAGAGTTTTAGGTAGGAGATTCATCTCCTAGAGCAGAAGAGTCTCACTTCTGACTCTGTACTTGAAGAGGATGACAAGTGGAGCTGTTCCTCTCCGAGGTGTCTCATTCACTCTGGTGTTCAGTGTGTTCTCATTTTGCCCACGCAATTTCTTAAGTGCTTTCATCACTAAATTACTAAACTTACTGTTCTAGGGGCCGCTGAATATAGATGTTGCTCCAGGAGCTCCCCAGGAAAAGAATGGAACTCACCGAAAGAGTGATCCCGAAGAACTGAGGGAGCCACAGCTCAGGTAGGGGAGCAGCCCACAACCCTGGCGCGTGCACTGTGTGTACAGAAATGGGCCGTCATCCAGATAGACCTGGAGCCCAGTGTGCGGATTTAATATGTCTTCTTATTAGACTCACAGGATTGATGTGAGGATTAAATAGTAACGATTTAATAAATTTGTAAAGTTGGAAAGTTTGTAAAGCAAAAGCAGCATAGCAGTGTGCACACACACACACACACACACACACACACACACACACCCACCCACACACCCACCCACCCCTCTGGTATTCAAATGAAAGATACACGGTCAGTCCCTAAAGTCTCAAGGCATTTTCTGCAGCTTCTTTCGACAACTATACTTTTAAAATGTTCCTTTTTTTATCTTTTCCTTTTTCTCTTTTCTGTGTTTGTATAAACTTCTAGACATTTTCCTGCTTTATAACCTTATGAAGACTTTGAATCCCTTGTATCAGCAACTGTGTTCTGCATCCACTGATGCTGTTTTTGTCCTTTCATTTTGAAGCTTTGCAGAAGCCCAGCAGCAGCTGTGCCACACTAAACAGGAGATGAACGAACTGAGGAAGCTGCTAGAAGAAGAACGAGACCAAAGAGTGGCTGCTGAGACTGCCCTTTCCGTAGCCGAGGAGCAGATCCGGCGGTAAAGGGCTATGGGAGATAGCCTAGCCTCTGTTCACTCCTGATCCTTTCTTGTTATACTGTGTACATTTCAGTGGCGCGGCTTGATCTGGCTCCCATCTTGAGATGGGCGCTGCAGTGCATTTGGGGTCAAGACAAGCCACACTAATCCAAGCTTAGCCCCTCCTCGGTGTCCTCTCTGGCCCTGGTGCAGAATGCAAACTTAGGTAGCTAGCTGATCACATGCTGCCTGCCTAGGCCCCATACTTGCCATTCTCATGTTCGAGCTTCATGGTGTATGTGCAACTCAGTGGACTTGTTATTTAAAAGCAGCCAAATATTCCCACCAGTATTTCAGACATTTCATTTGTCCTGGGCCTAGCCTACAGAAGCTGACATACTGACCCGTGTCCTGCCAGACTGTGCTGTCCCAGGTCACGGATGCCCCTGAGAAGCTTATCATCTGGAGGAACAGACACAGAAGGTGTACTGTGCAGTCAGCCTGGCCCTCAGAGGGAAACTGGCAGGATGGAGCAAGGCTGTGATACCTCAGTTTCTCCTTCCAGGCTCACAAATCAGATTAAAGTGTTCTTTCTCTCCAGGAGAAAACTCTGACTTGCAAAACTCTGACTTGCAAAGAGAGGCCAGGAGTGTTAGGCTAATGGACATCCCTTCATATGGAGGTGTGAAGAGTTCCATCCTCCCCAGCACGGTTAAAAAGTGCATCCCTGCAGGCAAATGTTTGAGCAGATGTGCTATGTTACCTGCAGCTGCTTTGATGCAGTTCATGTTTTTGCAAGAAACCATTGAGTGGACAGAGCAGCTTCTTCAGTAAGTGGAGAAGTTCCAGTATTAAACAAATCAGCAAGAAATGAAGAAGAAAGCAGTAGAGGCTGCCAGTTGAGTTTAATTCTAAGAACCCCACAAAAGGCTTACTTGGATGCTTTTGCCTGTTAGCCTTTAGTAAATGAAAAAGAATTGAATGAGTTTCTCTCGTGTACTGGAAGAAAAGAACAAGAGGTTTAGAGAGAGACAAACCTGGGTTTTGAATTCTGGCCCTCCCTCTTACTGTCCGTGCCACCATGGGCACGACATTTCACCGCTCTCGGCCTTACTTTGAAGACAGCAACACCACCGGTTAAGTGTACGTACAGCACCCAATGCAGCATCTCTTATGTAGTAGGCATCCATTCCTAGTAGTTAGCCCCGCCTTCTGCTGCTGCAGAAAGAAACTGCTCTGCCTGCACCCTGCTCTTGTGGGGGCAGGAACTGTGGGGGGCAGCCTTCGCTGCAGGTCTCTTGTGCCACGTCACACGGCAAGGTGACAGGGAAGACTTCACCTGAGCAGCTGCTCATGCTGGGAGCCAACCCATGCCTCTTTTCTTTCTCAACACAGGTCGGAGCACAGTGACTGGGACTCTGCCCGGTCTCCCATCATGGGCTCCTGCGGCACTCAGGAGCACGCGCTGTTAATAGATCTTACGAGCAGCACCTGCCGAAGGGTAAGGGGGAGAGGCGTGAAGAGAGGGGCCTGTACTGTCGCACAGGGCTGGCTGCATCGAGGGCAGGGGGTCAGGGAAAAGGAAGGGGGAAGTCCAGGCATTGATGGATCTCAGAGTGGAAGGGTATGGAAGGTTGGACGAACCTAGTGGATTGGAGCTGGCCAAGTGACCCTGAGGGGGACTTTCTCTCAGGACACCTCTTTCCTACAGTGTTTGGAGAAGGGAAAGGGCCATATCCCTGTAGGGTAAAACTCTCTGACTTTCAAACTTTTCTTTCAGACCCGGAGTGGTGCTGGTTGGAAGCGGGTCCTGCGTTCACTCTGTCATTCCCGGACCCGAGTGCCGCTGCTAGCCGCCATCTACTTCCTGATGGTTCACGTCCTGCTCATTCTATGTTTCACAGGCCATCTATAAACTGAATTCTCACCTTTTCGGCCACTCCCCTCAGAACTTGGAATTCCCTCACCTCTAACATCAAAACCATCGATTGTAGTGGAACAGTCTTCCCACTTACAGGTCCTCTCTCCAACTCTCCACAGAAAGTGCCTGCACAAACAGAGGTGGATGTGAGCCCAGGGCGGAGCTGCAGGGACCAGCGAGTCTCCTTTCTTCTACTGCCCGGGGCCTGAACACTTCTTTCTGCGTAATCTGAGGAGGCCCCACCGTTGCTCGCTGAGCCCGGGATTTGTTCACATTTTCCGGGGCCCTGATTCTTTGTGGTCCTGTGAAAAATGCTGGGGAATGTCTCTCAGCTGAGAAGATGGTTCTAATAAACCTAATAATCTGTAGTCCAGTATCATTTCAATTGATACTTTCTTTGCCTCATTTACCTTACATTTCTTCCTGCTTCAGAGGGAAGGTAGACCTGCCATAAACGAAGTTCTGGGAAACAGGATCTCATGGAGTAGCCGATTAGGTCTCCTGCAAAATAGGGTGGGAGCTGAACAACTCTCTGGGGGTTTTGGCTGCCAGATCCCAGGGTCAGACAGCATCTCCTTCCCTGGCTGTTCGTACATCACTGGAGTTAGATCTGTGGTCCTGGACTATAAGGATAGCGTCCTGTTGTGTATGCCCTTGATCCCGTGTATCCTGAGGTAGTACATGGCCCGTGCCTTTCCCTTCATCGAAAGGAAGAACTGGCTATGGACGGTGGGAATCAGATTCTTTTTTTTTTTTTTTGGAATCAGTTTCTTGTCATTCCTGTGTTGTCTGGGCATGCCTCGAATTAGGCCCTAAAGCAGTATACTCAGAGCTAGTCCTGGGTGGGACACTGACTGCCACTGGGGGGATCTGACTGGCCTGATGACCACGCCTGGCTTCTGGAGGTACCCAGCTACTCTGCTACTCATGACAGTTATTCCAGTTTCTCAGCCCGTAGTCATCTGCCCTCTATGTAACAGAGCTGAGGCAAGTGGAGGGTGAATATAGAGAAGACAGCATTTCTAAACCTAAGCTGAGAATGGCAGCCAGGACTGAATTCCATTTATGCCTGTTCCTCGCCTCCCCTTCCCCCACCCTTACCTGCTGGTTATTTTCTCATTATGCACATGGTGTGTTCCCTGCCTGCTCTTATCACCCAAAGAAGAGGGAAAACTGGTGGACTGATTGATCTGCTGTGATCCTTTGTTCTGTGGTGACCAAATCTTGGTCATAGCAACCCAGGAACTTTCCTGAACAACTGTAAAATAATAAAATTATTTTCAGAATCAAAAATTGTGGTGGTATGTACACGTGTATGAATGGATGTATACACGGGTGCTTATGTACAAGTGCTTGCATGCTGGTGAAGAAAGGTAGGGGAAGGGGGGTGGGGCAGCCAGGAATGGATTCAGGGTTTGTCAACTCTACCTATTCAGGCTTCCTGCTCCCTGGCCAGCACCAGTAAATGGCTGCATGTGTCATTCTAGTCTTAAACCCTAGGCCCCGGGGTGATGAACTGGAATGAGGTAATTCATTCTAATACTGAGCCAAACAAACTGGGCCTTAGGGCCTGAGATTCATGCTGTTCATGCCTAGCCCTGAGAGAATGCTTATCTGTGTATACTGAAAACATTAGGCCCCTAAGGATCCCTCCGGGTGGGAGTGGGGGGAGGGAAGTCTAATAGGGTATAGCAGAATAAGTATCACTTTTTTTTATATTCAGTTGCTGCTTAGGAAAAGCTAACTTTATCGAAGTATAATAAATGAATTGAACTAAGGTTTTCTGGTTTCAAAGCCCATGCTATTTCTATGTTGTACACCTTGCTGTCTCATTAGAAATGAACATGGGACATTTGCCAAGGAAAGCTAGGGTTTCTTGGTGTCATCTCTGATTAAATTCTATGGTTTCTCTAGTGAATTGTATCTGGATGGTGTGTCACAATATCTGGTCTGATCATTCCCATTTTTGACACTGAATTAGGATTCCAAATGATCTAAAAATCTTTCCCCCCTCAAATTTACTGTTCCTTAAAATAATTTTGATACTGCCATATTCCTATACATGAAGTAGGAAAGATGAGTAAAGACACCACTACTGCCCCGCCCACCAAACTGGCAGAGAATCCTTAAGAAGCGACTAAAGTCTTATTTCTAATGCAGAAATTACTTCTGCTGTACCTTAGACCACTTTTATCTAGTCTCTGCTTGAGTCCACTGGCGAAGTTAAAACAGCAAATCAGGTCAGAACTCTACATCATCAGGCTTAGATTAGACTAGGTCAGATACAGTAACAAACACTCCCAATTTTTAGTAGCTAAAACAGCAAAGATTACTGTTTAGTATACTTGTGTTGTCATCATTCTCAGTTGGGGACCCTGTCACTTGGTGACCCAGGCTGCCAGAGGAGCCATTCAAGAACAGCAGTTTGCCTCGGTGAACAGTGGGCCAAAGAGCATGACAAAGGCTTGCACTGTTCTTAAAGTCTCCACCAAAAAGTGATGTATTTCACTTCTCACATTTATTTGGCCAGAATAAGTCACCTGAGCAAGTCTGACTTCAAGAGGGAAGGGAGGGGCAGCAAATCTTGATGAACAGTAATACCAAATGCCACAAAGACCTTCCAACATGTGGTACTATCTTGTTCTTCCAGACTTTCTTCTGCTAACTGGAACCAAATCTTTCTACTAGTTAGCTCAGACTCCTCACTGTCCCCTAAACAATCTGAAAATTTCTATCTCCATGTCTTCCCTTTCCCCTGTGACTTACTCTCTTCCACCATTCAACTGTTCAATGTTTATTTGACTGTTGTATGCAAATCCTGGTTTTAAGTGCTACGGGTAATGTAGAAGTGAGTTTCATTTTAAATCTTACCCTTCAAAATCCACATAAAAATCACTTCTCCCATTAAGCCTTTCTTGATTACTTCACCCCACACCAAATTACTTTCACCACAAATTCCTTTACCGTACCAGATGTAACTGCCACCTATTTCGGACATGAATGCAGCTCTACACCTTCTTTTCTGTTTTCTGGTTGAATATTTTGCTTCCCTGACCAGATATAAACTCTTAAGAGTAAGAGCAGCATTTTTATAACTTCCCCGTGACTCTCAGAGCCTTGCAAAAGATTAGGCACAGAAGCATTTAATCCTTTTTTTTTTTTTTTTTAAGTGCCTAAGCAGAAGGAACTGACTCAAACTTCAGGAAGTAGCTGTGAGGACAGGGTATCAGGAAATGACAGAAGACCTGAATACGGAACTGAAGCAGCAGCTCAGAGTCTCTTGCTCTGAAGTGGCAGCACAGAGAGGGAGCCCAGTGACGACGTGAAAAGCTGGGAGCTTAGAGCAGACACTCGCGCTACTGGAGGTGGGTACTCTGAGCAGTGGGAAAGTCGGGGAGCGCAGGGCAAGAGCTGAATTAAGAGGAACCTACCTGGCTCTTAGTCCTCGGTGAGAGATGAAGTCCTTGCTAATAGGCTCTTAAGCTTTTATGGCCAGAGGCCTGGGGGTGAGTGTTTGTGGGTAATAAGCATCTGGGGATGGAAATGGAAATGAGGGTCTGGAGCTCAGGGCACAGGATTCAGCAGCCATCCAGGACCCCTAGTTTCTGCTGACAATCTACAACCCCCTCCTAAGGCCTGTTGTTCCTAGGCACTGAGATGGGAGGAGGACCACAGGAGATGAAGACAGAGTCTCTGTCCTTGGAGAACATAGGGTCTAGTAGAGAGACAAAACTCACTAGGAGACATTGTGACAGACAGAGCAGGAAGTGGTTGCTTCTGTACACCAGTGCTGAGCGCCAGGGCAGATGGAAGCCCAGGGAAGGCATGACGGACGGTTCGATGAGGGCTAGTTTCTATGACTGTAGGATCATATAATCCCAGAATGGCCGAAATGAAGGGGACTGGATGGATTAGCTAAGTTAACCTCTTCATTTATTTTCCACTGGGGAAAACTGAGCATCAAAGATGTTCAATGATTTACCAAATTAGCACTTTAAATTGCCTTCCCTGGTACCTGACAAGTAAGTACATACCTTATGTTGATTCCTTTACCCCTGTTTCCACAGGGGCTTAGTAACAGAGCTGTGGTGACCTTCTGACTCAAGGTCCATGTACTTTACTGACGCTGTAGGGCAGCCTTGCGATGAGGCCCTTGATTGTGCCTGCAGTCCTAGGCACCATTGCTCACCAACTTACTCCCCAGTCCTCTACTGCTAATAGCACCTCTCGCTTTCCTATTTCTGGCCAGTAGGTCAAGGACACCAAATTGTCTCTGTATCAGAAACTTCCCTTTGTTTCAAAACTACATGAGGATGGGAGAGTTTTGGGGGTGAGTTAGGCTGAGGCCTCAGAGGATCAGCAGGAAAGAGGAGAAGACCATCAGTCTTAGTTGCTTCCTTTTTGATCATGGATATTTCAGAAACTTCTCCTTTCCAGTTTTCTGTGTGAAGTCATTTTGTCAAAAAGGAGCCCAGGAGCCAGGACCATAGGCCTTCTCTACCTGCTCTCCCATCCATAACTGTTGCCCCACAGGGGAAGGCAGAGCTGCTTTGGGCAGGGACTCATCCCACAGTGTAGCTGATTCAGTCGATACTTCTTCACTGTCCTCTTTGCATCTCTTTAACCAACCTTCCCCCTAATTTCCCTGGGCTAGTTTCCAAGGGGATTCTCTCTCTCTCTCTTTTTTTAAATTTTATTTATTTATTTGAGAGAGAAAGAGAGGGAGAGCACAAGCTGGGGTGACAGGGGAGGGAGAAGCAGACTCCCCATTGAGCAGGGAGCCCGGTGTGGGACTTGATCCCAGGACCCTGGGATCATGACCTGAGCCGAAGGCAGACGCTTAACCGACTGAGCCACCCAGGCACCCCTCTAAGGGGATTTTCAAAGAGTGTGGAGAAAGATGGAGTTTTCATGTAGAAAGGAAAATCGGAGACTCTGAGGGCCTGTATGGAGACACTATGGAGTCCCAGGAGCAGTTAAGAGGAACTCATTTAGAAGACAGTAAAGAGCATAGGAAAAGACACCAGTGGAATGAGGCGTCCAGGGAAGGATCAGTAGGGGAGTTGCCACCTAGCAAGTGGTATCAGGGTCAAGAAGTCTCAGTGTCCCCCAGGCAGATAAGCATTATCCATTCTTTCCTCTTCACACGGAAATCCAGGATCCCACAGATACAGAGCAACTTGCTGCTCCTCATGCATAACTGGCAGGGCCAATGGAAACACTGGGGATGCCACAGTAGAATAACAATTTGGCTCCCCTTCATACTAGTGTTCTCTAAATATTTCTTTATTGTTTATTTAGTTAATAAAAATCTAATAACTCCTAATGTTCAAAATAAGGGATTCATTACATGTTATTTTTTGAACCAGCTATCTTCCTTAGAAATATAATTGAACTGTTTTTAAAAATTAAAGAATAGGTGATTCATTCCCAGCAAATAATGCTTCCCTATGTGTTATTCAGGATAGGAGTCTCAGCTGACTGCCCTACTGACCTCATGCACCTGTTCAGTAGCTGCTCTTAGAGTGGAGATGGGACAGCAACTTGTACTGGAGTTGGGATTTTCTCGGTAGAATTATGCAGGTTGTAGAGAGGAGTGTAGGTGTTCACTTTATTCAGAGCTGGGCCAATATACATTTCAACAGCTGTAACAGGAGTCATGAATAGAAACATGAGTGGGTTGGTGCTATAATTCTAGGGATGCCCTAGTAACCGTCATTGATTGCCACTTCAAGCCACTGCCCAGCTAGCCTTGGGATACAAATGAATTATCCCAGCGCTTTATTTAACATTAAAGGTTATTTAACATTACCTACATTACCAACATTTAACATTACCTATACCCAGACTCAGTAGGCTTAGGCCATGTTAGTTTAGCTTGAATAAATCCTCCTCCCCACTCCTGTAACTGAGCAAAAGTATTTTCCTAAAACTTACATCTGCTTTGCCTCAGCTTCTATTTTATTCTAAGAAAAAATAGCAAAACCACTGGACTGCTATATCATTGATTGACTTCAGCATTCTTGTTTTCCCTCTTCTTGATTTTCTCCTCCTAATTATTCCCATTTCTGTCACCCTCAGATGTGGAAGTCTGTAGTAGGGCATGATGTATCTGTTTCCGTGGAGACCCAGGGTGATGACTGGGACACAGACCCTGACTTTGTGGTGAGTTTGGGAATAGCTTTGCTTGGAAAATCAATAAAAGGTGGAGGTGGGGGGATGAGGGAAGGGCATCTGGGCCACTCTGTCATCTTTGAGGGGGTTTAGAAAGGACAATCTGGGACTGAAATAGC